TCTATGTATATAATTTTCTTTTGGTAAATTAAATTTTTTAAATTAATTTCTATTTGTCAAGTTTTAAAACAAGACACATTGGACAAAGTAACGGGTTACATGAAACCACGTTTAGGATCTTATGAAAATAAAATGTTTAATAAATCCTTTTGTTAATAAAGATTATGACAAGTACTAAGAATTTCAAATTTTACAATCTAATAAAAAATCATAATAAAATTTTATATGAAAAATATTTTAATAATATATGGACCTACTTAACCCGGTCCGACGTGCCCCTAGTTCTCAGTCGTGATGAACTATGATATAAAAAAAACTTAAATAAATAGTCTTATAATATAAACTTACTTGCGATAGAGGAGGATTCAAGCTTTTATTTGATATATTTTATGTTATACAGAATCATAGTCTAATCTAGAAGAAATTAATCCAACAAAATTTTTTAACATTATGATTAAAACATATTTTTGAGCAAGATCTTAATGAGCTGACATAAGACAAATATATTTTTAACGAGGGTTGTATATCGGAATTTTCTATTGTAGGATTACATTTCAAATTCAGATCTAATTCGCTTTATATTAAATAAAATTGAATTCATGCGCTGGTTTTTGCTCCCCGGTCTCCCCTTAATTTACTACCTATGTTTATATTTTGGATATCTGGTTTGATATATTTTTGCATGAAACCGATTTCTTATATACATAATATAAAAATTGTTTTCTAGTATTTTTATTTGCTTTTATAACAAAATATATTTATTTAATATTTTTAAAATTTTGTACATATTTTTATAAAATATAAAATAAAAGTTTGAGACAGTTATAGCTTACTTAAATAGAAGTCAAACAATTACGATTTATATAATGGATACTATCTTAGGATAAAAAAGCTATGGGTAAAATGGTTAAGTATTTCTTTGGATAAAAGCTGCAAAAAATTCTGAAATATTAACTCTATAAAAAGTTGCTGAGCATAAGGAAGCAATGATATAAAACAGTTTTAAAATGCTCTTCAAAAAATCTTCAATTTTGATCTCTGAAGATTATTTTGATATTTCTTTTGAGAATGCTCACATAAACAAGTTTTTTGATCAAATTATGAAAATTCCAAATCTTTTATAAATAAATTTTTTGTCATTTTTATGCACAAAAATCTTTCATTGTATAAAAATGATTTGAATCTTTAGAAAAATCTTCAATTTGTGATATTCAAGGATTTTTAATCAAAATTTTATGCAAAATAAATTTGCAAGAAATCTTAGATTTTTTTTTCAAACTGATATTTTATGTAATAGGAATAAATTTTGAAAATAGGGGCAAGGGGGGTGGTTAAAAGGTATGATGTGCCCAAATTATGTCCAAATATAAAAAATTTGTTAATTTATTTAACCTGCCCTTATTATATTGATAAGTTTATATTATAATTAAAGATAATAAATAAATGTCAAAATTGTATATTTTTATAAAACAATAAAGTTGTGTCCAATTATATATTAACTAGTTTATATTGGTGCTTAGTTTGTCAAAAATAGTATATTTCCAGTAATTACTCATATTTCCTAAAGTTATTAATAGCTTACTTTTTATGTTTTATTATAGGTGAGAGATTGGCGGGCTACAAAATGATTCATAATTTGTTCTGCTTTCCTTTTGTTTTAAATTTTTATGGTAAAATGTTCCTGATCATTTTACTGGCATCACTTAGATTATTATTAAACATAAATATAATTTAGCTTTAGTATTATGCATTTATTTCAGGAATCTATAAGTTATAAAGCGACATAACTGTGTCTAACCAAATCAACATTTTTACCATTTAATACTTAAAAATGTTCAATAGTAGTAAAGGCCATTTTAGTTATAACTTTATTCAAAATCCTCAAATTTCATATTCCGTCGCAACCCCTATATTACAAGAATTAACTACAGAATATCGTGTTCCGTCAAACCTTTCTACTGAAGATTAACCGTGAAAAACATGAAGGTTTTGGTTTACACTTCCAAAAGAACCTTGAAAAATAAATAAATTCTGCTTCTAATAGAGGTGGTAAATAAAATTAATAGAAATAATATGATCAGTTTAAATACCGGATCACTATCTTGTTAATGGAAAATTGGGAAAAATTGTTATAGGCCATTTCCAGACATAACGTTTTTTCAAAGCGGTTTTTGGGTAATGTTACCAGCAATTTTTTTTTAAATATTAAATTCTAATTAATTTTTTTTATATAATATAATATTTAAAAAAAAAATCCTGACCCACATTTCAAAAGGCCAAATCGTTATTAAAATAAACCCAGTTTGTTTTCCATTTACGATTGAAAAAATGGGGATCCAGATTGTTTTTTTTTAAATATTATATTATATAAAAAAAATTAATTCGAGAAGTTAACATTTTTTTGGGGAAATAAAAAATTGATTACTGGTCTGGTAACACCAAAAACCTATTTTAAAAAACGTTCTGTCTGGAAATGGCCATAGGGGTAAAATAAAGAATATATAATAGCAATAATGGTAAATTAAAATATAAAAATAAGAAAGTATCATAGTTAATGTTTTGTAAATGAATCCTTATGCTAAAAAAAGGAAGCTATAACGATACTCAAAGTCGAAAGAATTCGTCAAGTTTTGCTTTATATGTAGTCTAAGCAGGATTGTTTTATCTTTTTGCTCCCTACTAGATCTAATACTAAACTTGCTGAGTCAGCATGTACTATTGTCGCTAGAATGATCCTTTTTTTTGACACTATTATATTTTTACCATTAATTATACAATCGTAATTTGATAGCTAGATATAATGCGTTACATTTACAATTATATTCGTTGCATAAAACTAAACCTCAAAAATAAAATTTTTGATTAGTTTTAGTTAATGCAAATAATCATGTATTTGTCGGAGTTTGAATATATTTTCTCTCTAAAATTTTAATGTGTGCACTTTTAATCAGCATGAAATTTACCAGTTTAAAAGTTAAATTAAAATTTTTCATAGCTTTTTCCTTTAATATAATATTTTTAGTAGTAAAACACGATAAATGTTCCTAAGATTTATATGAATTTTTGATATAATTTTATGATAGTTTGTCAGGAAGGAAAGGAGTAAAATATTAATAAATATTTTTTGTAATATAATTTTACATGGTTGATTAAGCACGAAAAATCATTTAAAATAAAGCATTGGCTTTTAAAAAAGCAGAAAATAAATGCATGACATATATTATTTGAACTTTTTAAAAACATATTACATATTTTTCGGCTTTTAATTAGGTGATTGCATCTTCCGACAAATCAAGGTTGTTTGGGGTTTCTCCTTCTTAATTTGGTTTCTTTGTTAGCCTTCCTTACTTCTCGTCTTTAATGCGAGTAGGTTAAAGTAAACTTGTGAGTGGGAGATAGTCTATTTGAAACTACCTATGATTATAATGAAAAATTTATGCCTTTAATCTCTTCCACAGTCCTCGGCACAGACGTTCTTAACCCTCTACTAACTAACTTTAAGAAATTAGTGGGGACTAATCCCTCCTTTGAAGACACTTCAATCCTCAAATATTAAGACAAAATTCTGGTCATGAATGGCTTGAAGCTGTCGCTAGTGCCAATATTGGTCCTTTGCTATCGATGAGGAGCAGAGGGTGGCCAGTATAGACTGGGCTGTAACCTATGCCTACCTCATAAATGTAAAGGGTACGAGAAAGACTGTGATTCTAAGGGTCATCACCTAACCTGTTTATATTCAAAAGGATGGTTCAGTCTCCATATAGCTATTGACTCCAATCTCGAACAAATGAAGGTTGGCCAACTACCCCAACCTCCCGGAACCTCTGATGAGAAAATACTAGATGGGCTCATAAACATTCCTTGGTTTAGAGGAAAAAACCATATTTGGGATTTAATTTATGTCTAACAATTTTTCTCTAACCCAAACATCGATCCAATTATTACAGCCGAATACCATGACTTTTCAGATTTTCATTTTAAATCATTATTTGTACTAATGCCATAATTTTTTTAAGATTAGGTTAAAAAAAACTCCTCAAATTAATGATCATAGATCCTTTTTTAAAATGTTACAATCAACTCAAATCGCATGTTTCTCGGAAATCAATGAGTCTCTTTTTGCCCCCCCCCCCCATCTTATGTTTTATATAATGCAATTTTTTTAAATTTAATTTTAAAAAAAATAAAAATAATTTTAAAAAAGAATAATATAGTGCAATAATCCTTTACTACATATATAAAAATATTTTATTCTTTATCAAAATTATCAAGAAATTTAACAATGAGGTGCATGTTAATTCAAAAAAAGACCACATAAATATATACATTCTAAAAACTTTTATTAGGCTTAAAATTTAGTTATATCAACCTATGCTTTTATGACACCAATAATTCTAAAGGGGATGTTAATTAACCGTTATAAATTTCTAAAAATTTTAATTCTATATCTGTTGAATATTTATCTGCAAATCTTTTGTACAACTATGCTTTATTAACATCCTCTTTGTAATTTTATATATAGATTCTTTTATAAAATAATGTCCTTTTTTTAATACAGTGATATTTTTCATGAATCGAGTGTCTATCTGCATCTAATGATAAAGGACAAATTGCAAGAGATCAAAAAGCTAATTTTCTATTTGTTTAAGGCCAAGACTCCCCATTCCATACAAATTTTTAGAGAAAGTTAAGGCCGCCGGTTAAGGTGATAATTGTGGCTATAAATATAAAATATTGTGTTTGGAATTTGGGTAGAAACTCTTCTCGCGTTCTTATTTTAGTTACAGTGATTATATATTGAAAAAATATCGATTCCATGATTATTAGCATTTCCCTGGAATCAAGGCAATTCCATCCTGGAATTAATGGAGGGCAAATGAACCCTGTCTCTCATTGAATCGTGTGAGCAAAAAAGTTATTTGGCAAAATAATAAATAATTTAATCATATTTTATTGTAATATACAATATTTTAAAGTATTGGCTATTTACAACTTTTTACACGTATTTATAAATTAAATTATATTTTGATAATAAATTCCCATTTTAAATTAATGAAAGGAGTGCAATACAGCCTAAATTATGTTTTGATAAGCAAATATAATAACATCAGCTTAGTATTAATAGAAATTATGTTCAAGATTTCGATTATACAAAATGTTTAAAAAAAACATTATTATGCATGAATTAATAATCCAACACAAAATTTATAATTAAAGGTAACAGATAATGATTACCAATTAAGGTAAAATATATATTATATAAACAATTTAAAATATTAACGATATAAGGGTATTAAAATTCTAAGGAGATAAAATGATTGGATTGAAAATCTATAGGCTGCCACCTAGACCTTTCAAGGCTATCAAAAAATTCCCCGTTCTGGCTCGTCATATACTCCTCATTGATCTTGTCCAAAACTCCGTTCCCGGCTAGAGGAATCAGTTGTCCACTAGTGTCTATAAGCCCTAGGCTGTTCATGAGGTGACTTGTGTTGCTATTCGGATCGTAATTTTGTGGATTGGAATAGTAACTGATAAGTTCGTTGGGCTAAATATATGTAATATATTTAAATTATCTTTGGATAAGCTCAAAGTTTGTTATAATATTTAACTCAAAAACCCCCGACTCACTATGTCAAACCTCTTGAAAATGTCAAAATATAATATAATGAAACAGATTAATAAATAATTTTATCATACATCATCTTTCGCGGGTATTATGGGATAAAGTTGTGAGGGAAAAAGGGCTTGTTGAAAGAGCATAGATTGGTATTGTTGCTGTTGAAGTGTGTAATGGTAATATTGGAAAGCAGGGTCTACAGTATTCGTGGCTATGGCGGAGGCGTTAACATTTGACGTAATATTAAAACTTAGGGAAGAAAAAAAAGATAAAATTTATTTACATCATAGATTGACAAATTTTAATTATTGAGAAGTGAGAAAAATCAACAACTGATTAGAGAGGTTTTTAATGTTTATTTATATTCAGTTTTTCTTATCTATTGTGTTGAATATTCATTCCCTCTTTCATTATTCCCACTTAAAAACATCTTAAACTAGCCTTAAGGTAATTGTATCTTTCAAAAGGAAAAAATAAATTTATAATATTATATGGAAAAAATAAAATAAATATTTATTATAAAACTATTCAAAAAGACTCACTCCTGATTAGGAACTGCAGCAATTATACTAGGTGGGTTGTAATAAGGATTTGTAGCATGTGCTTGTTGCATGTTATATAGTGCTGCATTCATATTTAGATCTACAACGTTGGAGGTACTAGGGTCTGCTTGGCTAGCTGGGGTAGTGGACTGCTCAAGTGTAAATTAAAGATAGGAATAGGAAGGTAACAATAAATTAATATATGCTTTGCTTCCGCTTATTTGTTCCTTTTCCTTATTTTATTCTTCTATCTGTATTATGATATCTTGATTTTAAAATCAGTGGGCAATATTTTAATATCCCAAATTCTTATGAGAATAACTTAAATTTAAGTAAATAATTTGGTTCCGATATTTAAATACAATTATCTTGAGAAAATATATCGCAAATCATATATAACCTGTTCATTCGTTTGTCCGCTCTTTTTAGCCAATGAAGAGGTAGTGGATCCTTCAAAACTTTTATAAAATTTTGTCAGTTCGTCATCATCCTCCCCAGTATTAGCTTCGTTGGTTTTGATATTATTTGGTTGAGCTGCATGAAGAGCAGCATCAAATGGCACCATCCTTTCATGTTGATGTCGGTATTGGTGAAGCAAGTATGTTAGATCTGGTATATATCCTGCTCTATGATAAAGATTTTTTTTAAGGCTTGATAATAAAAAAAGGAAATTGTTTAAAAAAATTATATAATTTAAATTTTATAAATAGCAAATGAAGATAGTGAATGTACTTAAGCACATAGCCAGCAGAGGAACAAAATAAAAATCCCCTCAGTGATCTCCTCGGACAACTTTGGACTTGATAAGAGAAACAAATTCCTCTTTGCATTAGAATATATCAACAAATTGTTTAATGATACTAGTATTTTATGAAATCTTTCAAAAAAATGAAATTGATTTAGCTGACGCCAAGAAAATAGCAGAAAGTATGTGTTAGTGTTAAAGAAATTAGGGAAAATGTTGTTAAATTTTTTTATACATTATATGACTGTTAAGTCTACAACAGAACTTATTTGATATTCACATATCTTGACATATACGACAGCACATCGTTAAAATAATGTAATATAAGTAGAAGAATATTATAAAATAAATATCTTTCCCTCAATTGAATAAATTTTTAAGCCGAATAAATGAAAAATTCTTGATAAATCAAACAGTCCTAACAAATCGAAATATTTCCTTGATATATTAAAAATTTTATATATTTTGACAACTAAACCCACTAGCCAATACAAAATGAAGCTTTCTTTTCTTTAAGAAAAAAAACTTATCCATACTATCTGAAAAAATATGAATAGGTTAGCCCTTTAAAAAAATATATGGGGATTTGCTATCAAATACTGATGAAATCATTTAAAATTAAGTAAAATATAAAAGAGATTACAAATATTTTGTAAATACCTTGCAGTTCATATACAAATAATACTTAAGAATAGTGTTGTTAAATGGCGCGTTTTGAGCCGATTTTAAAAAATGGCTAATACTATTTTAAGCAGAAAAATATTGTCCAAGCCTCGAGATTTAGCTATTAGATGTTTAGACCTTCGGCATCTATAAGAAAAATCTTCAGGCTTGCGTAATATTCACCTGGATAAAATATTGAGTTAGTCGTTTTTAAAAATAGGCTCAAATGGAGCCTTTTAACAACACTACTTAAGAATATTTAGCTATATTTACAACATAGGAATTTCTCAAAAATATTTATATATGGGTCATTCCATGTGTCAAATCGATCAAAAAACATGATTTTCGAGGGGGTCCTGTAGTTTGTGATAAATTTTGTGTACAAACAATGATACATGGAACGAAAGTAGTATTCAAATTTAAAACATAACCTTTATGTTTATGGAGAATATCAAAGAGTCAGCATATAAAAAATGATCTCTTTTTACTATCAATTGTCATTTAATTAGAGAACTACAAAATTATGTATAATGATCTGCATCGGGCCTAATTTTTCAAGCCCGGCCCGGCCCGAATTTTTATAAAGTTTTGGACGACCCGGCCCAAACCCAAAATTTTTAAAAAAAATTTAATATATAAATTAATTTTTATAATTACTCAAAATATACGTTTATGTTATATGGCGTCTACTTTCTATAAATAAAATCATATATTTTTATTTTACATAAAAAATTTAACATAAAATTGATAAATTTAGATATATTTTAAAAAATTTCTAAGGCCCGACCTGACCCCCGGACCGGGCCTACTTTTGCAGATCTCTAGTGTATATATTCTATTTTTAAAAAATATTACAATTTTTTTTAATGTGGTTCACCATCTAATTCTATTCTAAAGTTTAAAATTCTTACAAAACATAGTTTCTCCTATTTTTATAAAATTTCAAAAAAAAGCCACTGAACCCAATTTATATCTGTAGGAAAATAATAGATATACAAGGTTTTCGCTTTCATTGTAAAAAAGGATAAAAACACTAAAGACAAGGAATATTTTTTTCAGTATGTGGAATTAATTGTTCTAATGGTATTCAAAATGTTTTTATATATATTTTATTATGGCAAAGAATCAATACGATATTTATATATGTGCAATATTTTAATTTTTACTGGTATGACATTTATTATTATACCATATTATTCAAAAATATTTTTCAAAACATCCCACCTCAGAATTATTTTTTGTAAAATTTAGAATTTTGTATAAATGTAATGTAAATTCTATGCTATTATAAAAAAATATAAATAAATTTTAAATAATAATAGAATAATTACATTATTCTATCTATTGGATAAAAATACTGTTTTAAAGTATTTTTATCAATTTTCCTTGCGAAAGCAAAAACTTGGCATTTCAATTTTCTTAGTTACAGTTATATATTGAAACTTATATTAGTGAATATGCTTAAAATTGTATAAAAATCAAATAAACTCATTCCTTATTTTTATAAGTTTTATATTTAAAATGGGGTTAAACAGCCACATTAAAAAAAAATAAATATTTTAAAAAAATAGAATGTGTACATTTTGTTTTGATAAAATTGTTATTTATAATTTTTAGTAAATCCATAAGCAATAAAATAGTTTATTCTTCATGCTGTGACCCTTGATATCAATGTTTCAAAAAATATAATACTAAAACTTGAACACTGGTTAGGATATATATACTTTGGTTTGTATATAAAATTTTGCCAAGATTTCAAGCAGTTCAGAGTAGTGTTGTTAAACGGCTAGATTTGAGCTGATTTTTAAAAAAGGGCTTACTCAACATTATAGCAAGTAAAATAAAGCGTCGAGATTTCGCCAATAGATGTTTTATCCTATGTGCCATCTATGAGCAAAATCTTTAGGCTTGCATAATATTTTTCTGGATAAAATATTGAGTTAGCCGTATTTAAATTAGAGATCTGCAATTAAAATAATCGGGTTTGGGCCGTGCCGGGCCTAGTATTTTTAAAAAAATTTCGGGCCGGATAGGGTCGGACTTTGGAAATTTTATTAAATATATCTAAATTTATCAATTTTATATTAAAATTTTTGATTTAATTTATTGAAACTAAACGGTATATAACATATGTCTTTATTTTAAGTAATTATAAAAATTAATTTCTATATTTAAATAAATTCGGGCCTGGCCGGGCCGGTAAATTTTTTAAAAATAAATTTCGGGTTCGGGCCGGCAAAACTTTTTAAAAAAATTTCGGGTTCGGGCCAGGCTTAAAAAATTAGGCCCGGTACAGATCACTAATTTAAATATCGGCTTAAATTGAGAGGTTTAACAACACTAGTTCAGAGAATCATGATGGAATGATCCATATTTGAAATTGGGCAGTTTCTTCCTTATCAATAATTTTTATCAATATACATTACCGGCCATAAATGATTGCCCACCCTGCATTTTCTTAACAATTTTCTTAAAATAAGACAAATAACACACAATATGAGGTTTGTCGAATTTATTTATAAGTTTACATATTATTGCATAAAATTACAAAAAATAGAAGACATAGCAATTAATTAAGGTCAAATTTTGGTCTCATCAATATGACCACCTTTATTCTTAATATGCTGCACAAATTTTTGGTAAACTTTCGATGAGATTTTTTAAATATTCGGAAGTGATATTGTTCCATTTTCTCCGCAATCTTCCGAAAGGTGCAAATGAGAGGTTAGTGGGCTTTTTCGCGATTGTCGATCAAGGTGATCCCATAAAAGTTCGATTGGATTGAGATCGGGAAACTGGGATGGCCAAGTCATCAACTCGAGAATACCGTATTGTTGTAGATTTTGTAAATAATCTTTGCATAGCCTGGATGTGTGCCTTGGGCCATTATCTTGTTGAAATAAAAAGTTATTCCCTATCAAACACTTTCCTGATGAAATCACATGGTCCTCGAGGATTTGCCGGTATCCCTCCTTGTTTAGGATTCCTTTATTTTGAAAATGTCGAAGGTTGTCCCAACACCAAAGCACCCCCACACCATAACAGACCCCCCCCCCCCCCGAATTTGACTGTAGGAATTATGCAGTGATCGCTCATTCGCTCTCCAGCTGAGCGGCAGATATATTGCCTTCTTTTAGAACCGAAAATTTCGAATTTTGACTCATCACTCTATAAGACGTGGTACCAGTTGGCAGATGTCCAAAATTGATGTTTTCGTGCCCAGTCTAATCGCTTGAGTTTATTTATTTTTGCTCAAGAGTGGCTTTTTGACAGCTAACTACCATAAGTTCAAAGCTCCTAAGGCGCCTTTTCATAGTTGTGACACTTATCGGGGTTTCCTGAGTCAGATTAATCTCAGCAGCTATCTCTGAGGCGACAAGGCGTCGATTGCGTTTTCTGATCCTTGCTATATACGTATCATCGCTTAAAATCGTTTTGCAAGCTCTTCCAGGCCTCTTTGGATTCGATATTGTATTATTGTTGCGTAATCTTTTAAGTATACAATAGACTGTTTGTCAAGCTAGGATTCTCTGGCAATTTGGCGATTACTTTTACCACTTATGTGTAAATTATTATTTTGCATTTAGTTGGAATAAAAATTTCTTTTCTTTTAATCATTTTGGTCGAATGTTCGTTAAAATATTTATATAAAGACTGAAAGTTTCTTTAAACAATGATTTAAAACAAAAAAAATCTAAGAATTTTTTTTAAAATAATTAAAAATAGATATTAATAAGCAGATTAGAATGTGATTAATGACTTTCTTCCAAAAAACAACAGGCAACTTAAAATTGTTGCTGAAAAAAACTAATGAACCCTATTTTACCAAATTAGTCATTTTTGACATGTTGCTTTCAAAGGTTAAAATTTCATATTTATAGAGTTTTTTATTTCTAAACATGTCTAGAGATCTTAAATTAATTAATCAATTTGCTTTTACCCAAGTAAGTTAAAAAGTTTTAAGTTATTAAATTTTTTATGTAAAAATGCAGGGTGGGCAGTCATTTATGGCCAGTAGTGTATATATATTTTAGATGCCCATAATATTCTATTTTTTGTATAAAATTTTGTTCAGTGAACATTTCATATTGGGTAAAATTTCTCAATCCTTATATGTTTTAACCCAAAAAAAATGACAAAATCAAGTTTCTAGCCAAAAACAATATCCTAGAGGTTCTTAAATAATTTAATGTTTTATAACAACATTTTTGTGCACAAATTTATATCCAATTATTTAGGTATTAAAAATTGTCAATTTTTTATAGTAACTAGTCCTATTTTTTTAAGAAATTTTAGATGTCAAATAATGCCTACAAGCAAAATTTTGGCATTTTTCAGAGACCTGCAGCCCCAGCTTTAAGCCTAGCTTGAGTATACAGGCTGGTACATATTTTAATTTTTTTTAATACCAGGCCAAGCCTTAAATTTTTTTTTAAATACCTAGGCCAGGCCATATTTTAAAACTGAATCTTTTAAATCGCCATTATTAGCTATAAAAATTTGAAATAAATGTAATATATTTTTAAAAATCTGGGCTGGGCCAAAATCCAGGCCAGGCTGTCTAAATGTAATCTCTCTCTGATTTTTTTTATATCATTTTTAAAATTCCCAACATTTATATGCCATATATTTATTAAAAGTTTTATATAATTCATCATTTTTAAATAAAATCTTATATCTTATAATAAAATTGATCCAAATAATCATAACTATAAAACAATGATCATTGGAATATCATAATCAATAATATAAAATATACCTCTTTTGCTGGAAAGCTTGATTGATTTTTATTGGTTTGGAACCTAAACCATAATGACCATTCATATCTGCCATAGCTTTGTCTTTTTGTCTTTCATCAGTAAATTTGACAAAACCAAAACCTTTGTTGCAACCATTCATATCTCTTATAACTTAATAATATGATTATTTTCTTTAATATAGCAATATTTTTATATAAAAAATATCATTCAAATTCTGTATAAAATGACAAGATTTATAGAATTAACCTCATTGTTAAGATATGACTAAAATTATATTTTACTTTTGGCTCCTGAGCATGAAGGAAATCGAAGGGCAAAACATAAGTATAGAGCTGTATCATCTACTTCTGGAGAAAGATCACCAACAAAAATGCTGAATTCATTTGCACTATAAAATACTATAGATTATAATAATCATTGAAATTACCTGTTATCTATAAGAGCATTAGTTGTCATTTGAAATAAATGTGTACAATCTAAAAATGAATTATCAATATAATAAGGTCAAATAAAATATAAAAATAGCAATTTTAGAACCACATTCTAACAATGACATGTCATTACATTCTAAATATATTTGAACTAAAATTTATTTCAAAAAATTAAAGAAAATTCAATTTTTGATATAAATTAAAGCCATTCATTATTTTAAATATATTAAGCTAATAATGATTAATTACCGTCAAAATGTTATTTTATTCAAAATGGCATTCGACTGGGAATATGAGATACTCAAAATGTTTAAAAATCAAAAGACAACCTAACTAACGCAAGTTACATTACTGTCAGATAAACATAACTATCAGTAGCAAAATATCATATAGTAACAAAATAGAACAATTATAATATGTTGTTTCAATATAAAAAGAAATAAGATTCAAATAAAATAATAAAATGTAGTTGTTCTAGTAATCTAAGAACCCAAACAGTTAAAATAAAAACACCTTCATAGGCGTTTCTAGGACTTTTCTAGGAGTGGATAGAGGAAATATATTAAATTTTATTAACTTGCGATAAGGCTGGTTATTGCAGGTCTTTCCGCAAGTTATATTATGTTCTTTCACAAAATTTATTAATTATAGTTATCAAATTTCTTTATTATTATAAATTTTTTTGTATATATAATGACTGAGATTTCATTCTTGGGAGAGAAAGATAAGGGAGTGGGGTAGGGTTAATTTATAGACTTAAAATATTGCTGTATATCACAATCATTAAAAGAAATCCCAGTACAAATGACATTTATATTTTAGTGAGAAAGCAACGTCATCATTACTTTTTTTATTTTTGGAAGATAACGAGAAAATTAACAATATTTTTGAGTAATGACTAATAAGTTACTTTTTAAGCTATAAATGAAAGACGATAAAATAAAATCAAGTTAAACTGAAGGAGATTTAGGTTCATGGCTAAATTATTATCTATAAAAAAATATATATTTAATTTTAATTATAGCAGAGTTTTCATCAAATCAGATTCATCTCATGTTAAAATTTTATTATAATTTATACATAATGGTAGAAAATTACATTTTTTACTAAATTCAAAAAATATATATACAATACAAATTTTATAAAGATGGATTAGTTAAATTTATTGATAGTAAAAAAAAATTATTTAAGCATTTTTAAGGAATTATGACAATTAAAATGGTATCTTGTAAATATAACTATCCACTCTTCAATTATCTGCATCAGTTGAGAGTGCCTTTATCACAGAAAATTACATTGTTAAAAATAAATAGAATAGTTAGAATATGCAGTGCATTGTATTGCAATGTAATATAATAATTATAAGATTTATTTAGTGAATATTTAATTTTTTATTGTTTTAGAGCCAGGGGCGTCTCTAGCTTTTACAATCTCAGGGTGCTCAACTAAAAAAAAATTTATGGAGGGCTTCACCCCTTATACCCCCTAATTTGCGGGCCTTTGGCCAGCTTTTGTCAGGCCTTCGGCAAGATTTTATATTAATATATAATACATTTTTAAGATTTGCTAACTTGGAACAATTATTCTGAATTTCATATTTTGTCATTTATCATATTATGCATACAAAATAAACTAGCATATAATTAAAACAATAAAAGACATTTCTAAATATAAATTTTTTTAATACAAAATCTATTTATTACAGTATAAATATTTTCGCTGATATAAAAAAATTTTGCATCTAAAGAATTATAAGTGATAAAAAAGGTTAATTAATTCACACGTATGCCTCAATTGATAATGGTTTTTAAAAACCACATATGGCAATATATTTTTTAGCAATTTACATTGATAAGGTCATGAAACTAATATAACTCTCTGTTACTATTTTACACAATGTTTGATAGAATGGAGCACAAAGGAAAAATTTATAGGCTTAACCAAATTAATAGTTTTTCAAGAAGAGAATATAAACGACCAATCCAAATCTTAAAACTATATGGTGTTTAGAGCTTCCACTTAGATGACATGATGGAAGCTAAATAACTAATCGAGAAAATTATTATGAGTTATTACATTTCTAAAAGTTTTCTTCCATTTTTAATGATATATAAAAGACTACACAGTAAACCATTATTGCTTATCTAAAATCTCTCAGCAACTACAGTAATGATTTTAAATTACATAGCCACACAAATAATAGATGCTGGTTAATTTGCAGTCATAGCAGCCATGACACCCACGATGTTAACTCATATCAGAATTTATAATGTTAGATAAATTGATAAAACAAAAACATTAAAAATAATTAGAAGAAATTATGCAAATATATTGAAGCCTTGAGTTATTTACATGGCTAGGATGCCATATTAGAAATGAAACATTTTATAACTATAAAATAAGAACCAGAGTGATATGATGAAAGCAATTAAGATTTTATAAACTTCAGCTGTTAATGCGAAATTTATTTAGTGAGGGATATTGATATTCTATTTTTAACATAGAATTCGATTGCAAGTTGACATAGTGAAAATAAAATTTATATGTATTAATCTAATCTAATAATTAAAATAGTATTCGTTTAATAAAAATTTAGATAGTCTTATTAATTTTTAAATAACATAATTAAATCTATATATTATTTAATAGAATTATGAAAGAAATTGTTCAGGGGATAATCAAAAAAAAAATTTTTTAATTCAAGGGGATATTTAGGAGCCATTAAAAAAAAATTTTTTTTGCTTCAGGGAGCTATTCAAATTTTTAAGAGGGCTCGAGCCCCTGCGCGCCCCAATAGTGTTGTTAAACGATCCGATTAAGATTTTAGCCAAAATTATATTATGTAACCCTGGGGATTTTACTCATAAATGGCAGAAAGGTTAGGACCACTAATTGCCTCTTGAGGCTTACATAATAATATTTTGGCTAAAATCTTATTCGGACCATATTTAAAAATCGATCCAAATCGGGCTCCTTATCAACATTAGTAACGAACTATGATACTTTGAAAAATAACGTAACGCTCTTTTTAAAACAATAACAACGTTTTTCTTTCAGGATAGCAACATAAAAACAATGTCATATGTTTTTAACACTTACAAATTTGAATCTAATAAACCCACCCCTGTTTATCACAATTATAAAGAAGCGTTCACGGAGTTCTCTTTAGAACATTTATTTCCCTCTATTGGAAACATTCAAAATCTAAATATTTAATGCAACGTCTATATACATTTAATAAATTCTCTTTCATTGCATCTACTTGAATTTTGTGTTCCATTTTAATATTTGACTAAAATACTGATTTCACTTTAAATGGGGAATAATTTTTATTTCTTCTTTCAACTAACAAATGTTTTAATGATTTTGAATGGTTTCATTTCAATAATTGTATTATTTTCTTTCTCAATTGATTTAATTTTTTTATCAAACACATACATCAATGAATGGGCAAACAACAAATATACTTCGTTTAAACCATTTTCAAAAATTTTTATGATTATTTATGGGGGATTGGTAATTGAAAGAAAGAACTATTATAATGCTTCATACATTTCAAGATATCGTTGGACACAAGGAAATAGAGCAAGTCATCCTATTTTTTGAGTGATAAAGAAATTGTTCATAACCTGAGAAATAATTGTAGAGTTTCATAAAACTCTCCAAATCTAATGGCAAGTCATCAAACTTGAATGCTATTGTATAATATATGGGCAGGAACCCATTCCAATTATATTCTTTAATCCGGAATTTTTCGTTTGTAGAAAACATTATTTAATCCAACTCGTGTCTTCCGCCAAAATTTGTATTGCAATTGTCTCCGTAAAAGGCTATCAATTTAGATGTTTTTGGGCCATAACTGTTAATAAATAATTAGAGATAGTATCTGACATTTCATTTTTAAGCGATTGTATGTCGATAATTCTAACATTGATGCCGGTTTTGTTAAAATACTGAAGCAAAATGGGAAATATTTTAAGATTTTTATGATTACTTGCATCTATCAAAATGGAAATATAATTTGCTATTGAAATATAGTATTAAGCATAAATAAGAAATACCAACCCTTTATAAGACCGCTTTTTACGTGCATTAAATTTTACATTATTATAGTCATAAACCGGCTAATAAAGTGTCCATTTTTGTAATTTGCTAGTTCTTATATTTCGGGCAGGATGGCCAAAAATGTGAACTAGAGGTTCATGATCTGTTTGAATTAAAAAATTTCCCCCAGTAACATAAACCCGCCATTAGAGCGAACTTTTCTCGTTCAATAATAAAATATTTTCTTATTCTTATTCATTAATATGAAACAAAACTGGCCCCAAATTCTTAAGCGATGCATTCATATCTTATATAATAAAAGGCGTCACATTTTTTGTCATATTTTGTGATAAAGTGTAACAATACCCGAAATCGAACTCACGACTAAATACGATAACTGAACATGTCACAGCAACTTAGCAGTATGCCTTCACCGCAGCAGCTAGACACCAGGTCTACATGGAATCAAATTTAATGTTATAGTATTTATTTAAGTTGTCTTTTTTAGTCTTATTAAAGTAGATTCGATAGCTAATTAAAAAATCTATCCAAGCTCAAATTATCCTAAATGGGCGAGTCTAGGCCTAGGAGGTCAGTAATATTTTAATCAACATAGATATATGTAACAAGTAAAAGATCATTAATTATCTTTAGCCTGAAAGTATTCACTCTTGGTCTTGTTGAACTTGATCTGGATAGGGTTGGGGGGTGGGGGGGGGGTAAAAATAAACGTTTGATTTCTGTATTAAATAAAAGGTAATTAAAATGTCCTGATTGCAATGATAATTATCACTCTAGGTGGGCGGGTCTAGGTCCTGGAGAATCTGGAATACTTTTATCAACATAAAATATTAATATGGGTACTAAATAAATAGTAATTAATAAATATTTTGACTCAAATAATAGAATATACCTTTAGTTTTAATATGTTGGGCTTAGATCTGGCTCTGGAGGGGAGGGGGTACCTAAAAATCAGATATTGGCATCAAATAAAAGGTAACCTCCATTATCAATGGAGAGTTTGATGAGTTAAAAGTTATCCAATATTTAATTTTATAGGCAACGATAACAAGCATTCGAATTGATCTTTTTAAATTACTTGTGTGGCAATTATAATATAAAATTTAGGTAAAGCGAAAGACATATTTTATTTTACAATTTTTATTAAGATGTATAAATTTTAGAATGTGTTATTATTGAAATACGGATGTGTGTAGCATGGCGCCAATGTTTTGCGTGATGTTATCAGCCATCAATTTATTAACTTCTTCCTCTAAATGTCTTTGAGGATCTTGTTTACCGACATTCTTAATAGCTAATTGCTCGGGTGTCATTTTTTGTTCGTCTTGAAGGCTCTAATGATAATCATATAATATTAATAAGTACTTTATTTGATAAAAAAAAATCTTTGCAAGGAGAAAATAGCGAAAAGTTATAAAAAAATGTAATAAGATTATAGTCAACACTTAAAAATATCCTTTATTCCATTTGTGCACAAAATTCATTTTACAATTTTAGATAAAAAGTACTATTTAGGTCATTAAAAAAGAGATCCTGTATAAAAGGTAGTATTAATAACAAATGTAATTGAATTTACCTTATTGTAATTCTTAGCCAAAAGCAGTATTTTATCCAAGGCATCTTGATTAATTTTGCATTCTTCTTTATAATCCTTAAGCCTTAGCCCGTCCATCCAACTCATTTTGTGCAAATTAAGGAGCATTTTTTGCTCCAATTCGTTCTTTTTGTAATTGATGTTGATGCTATAATAATGACGGTTCAAACCATGAATTAATGCCTTTTAATTTTGATATATTAAGAATATAATATGTAAATTTTGAAAAACGTATTGAAATAAATTATACAAATTGTTCCATCCTTTTTCAAATCAAATTTTAAACTAGAAAGTAGAATTAAAAAAAGAAAAATTGTCAATGCACAAAAATATCGGAGTTTTAAGAAAAAAATTCTTAAAGCACAGAAAATCGGAATCGTCAGAGATCACTGTAAAGTATATCTAGAGACTTATTTAAGTTGTATTTATTATATAACATAAAAAATACACCAAACTGAGCCATTCTATTAAAAAATGAATCAAATATTCGAAACAAATAAAAAGAATTATTCTAAAATACTATTTCAAAATAAAAATATTTTCGTTATAAATTATTTTCCTTTGCTACGAATTTGTGATAACTGAGAATGCATCGTAATTCAAATAGAATGCAAATAATGCATTATTCGATTCACATTTGAATAAGCCCTACATTTAATCATAACTAATTAAGCCTTAACTTTGTAGTTAGTTAACATTACTATAATCATAAAATGATCACATTTATCTTATATTTAATTAAGAGATTAATAAAATAATCTCAATGGAAAAATATTTATTTTGCATATAATATCAATTGGTATACCATACTTGTATAGAAGGTTTGTGTAAATGGCCAAAATTTGATGTGGTTTGTCTAGGCTCGTGACCCAAAACCATCATATTGGTATTTATCAACCTGAAGGCATCGATTACAACCTACAAAAAATAATCATAAAAATTAGGGTATTAATGATAATCCTGTTATTTTCAGGATGTATAATAATGTTCATTAGTAATATTCAGCAGGTATGTAATAAAATGAACATATTATTTAATAATATTTTAACTTTGTATAAATCTTTCTTTTTTATTAAATATATTTTCAGGAGTCTTACCGATATTAAATATCGGATCGATACCGACCATTTAAAAAAAATTGGATTGAGCATATATTTAAAAAACCCGATCGGATATTATCATTGTTTTTGGTTATTATTTTTCATCTTATACATAATTTCCTAATAATAATAAAAAGAATCAAAATATAATGTGATAAATGTTTTTTTTAAATGGAATCATATTATGAAATAAAATCAGCCATATAAATATTACCAGCATTTTAAATAAGTTGATTGATTTTTAGCGTAAAAAAATATAATAATTAATCATCAAATATCACCTTGAATATGAGAAATGGAGAATTTTAAAATATTTTTGTTTTGCCCATAGTTTACAGTATTTTTTTGCGAAATTGGTTCAAAGGTTGATAGTAAATAAAAATCAATCTAAATATAAAATTGGTTTAATAATGGAGCATATCGGATTGGATATCGGTAAAAATTTTGGGACCGGCACAGTCCTTATTTTCATATTATAATTCTGTATTATTTTTATACTTTTATTTTATAATTATAAATAAATTACCAAAGATATATATATATATATATAAATCACTTAAGAAAAAAAGAAAGAAAAAAGAGAAAAATAAGAAGAGGAAGGAATTTTTTAGATTACCTTTCCTTTGACACTCTGAATTGGATCTATGACTACGGCAACTGCTCTGTCTGATAAAGCTTCAAAACTTTGTTGAGTGTTTATATCGACTCCAGATAACCAACACCCAAAGCCAGGATGAGAATGGTACCAACCCACAACCATTTCTGGCCTATATTTTTATAATTAACAAATGTGTCACATAAAGCTATTTTTCAAAAAAATGTAACACACTAAATTAAATGTCATTTTTCATAAAAAAGTAAGGCTCTATAGAAATTTGAAAATCATGACCCAGCCTGTACCAACCCAACCAGGTTTCGGACTGAGCTGGGTCTATTAAAAAAATTAATTTTGGTTGAGGCATGGTTGGGCTTAATAATTTTTAAAAAATTTTGGGCCGGGCTTAAATTCTTAAATATGATATAAATTGGTATATTTTAAAATTCTTCCAAGAAACAAAGTGCTATAATTTTTATTTACAAAGTATTTTTTTTACAATAAAAAAAAATTAAAATTTTCAATATTTAAAAAAATTCAACCCAGGCTAGGTAGATAGATAATTATTTCAAGTAGGGCAAAAAATGTGGAGGCCAGGCTTAAAAAATTAGGCCCAGGCAGATCACTAAGGAAAGTTATAAAAAAATGTTAATGCATTATTTTAACAATATTGCCCAAAACTAGGTTATATTTTTTTAAACTGTAAGGCCCAAACCCACTTTTCAATGCTTTAGTATCTTAAAATATGTATTTGGAAATAATTTTAAGAATATTTTTCCAGCATTGAGTAGATAAAATGTTCTCAAAAAATTATTTAATATTTAGATTCATTTTTTCTTATCCCTATCATTAAGATATATTCTGACCCATCTTTGAAAGTTGGTATCATTAACTGGTCCATCTTTCATGGATATATCTATCCATTGAGATTTCTAATCATCAAGTCCTCTCTCCTTTTTAAAAATTGTAACCTAATCAAGAAGTCCCTGCACATTATACATATATTACCTTCCAGTCTGCTTTAACATATCCAACATCCTTGCTTGGAATACTGGGTCCACAGCTTCAACACTGACTCCCTTGGTTATAAATTTAAAATTGGGCAGGTTATTAAATACAATAACAAATTATTATTTTTTAAAAAAACTTAAAATTTAGAATAATATATATATATAATATTAATAAATCATTAAGATATTTTTTTTTACAGTTCCAGATTGAGGCATTGCAAATACATCAATAACTGATACTGTATAATCATCAACAAACTCGCCAAGCATAAGGCCCATGACTTCCATAGGAACACCAGCTCGACCATGTTTTAGCATCTATAAATAATATTTATTACATCGTATATTAAACGAATTTTATTTGAGTACAATTATTATAAAATCTATAATCTATTTAATTATGTATATATTTTAGTTATTCAAATTAATGGTGGTAAATTTTAATAGTTTATTACAGAATTATTTGTATAAAGGACATGAGTAAAATTAAATTAAAAGCATTACTTTCAATAGTGCAAGGGAAGATATGTAAACTTGTTCTGCAGTATCTACCATAGGTGCATCTCCCAAGTTTCCACCCTATATTAGATATTTTTATAGTGCATGATAATAATAAATTTTAAATAACCCCCGATAATCCTGACAATCCTGAAGCTCCTAATCTTAAAAGTCTATCCATCTCAAAAATTCGAAAAAAATGTTAGGATAGATGAAAAAGTGAATTTAACCAATTTGCTGATAAATAAAATAAACAATCAAATGGTCAAATGATTTATAATCTAGATTAGCGATTCATTCATCAAATGTTTTTAAAAGTGTTCATACATAAAAGTTGAGGTTTGCTCATCGATTAAATGACATTAATGAGCATTTATTTTATAATAAATAAAGACAATTAGTTGGAGTCCTAATCACAAAATGGCGCCATAGCAGATTCCTATTTTTGGACACTTGATATCGCCAACAATCTTCTAAAATATATTATTATACTGCCGATTATTTTTATCATGTTGATTTATCCGATTATTATTATACCATTTTAGCAGTATTATTTATTTCTAAGTCAGCTCGTTCCATCGCTAAAGCCAATTCTACCACTTTGTTTAAGCTTAAGGTTGGTCTTCGTCTCTAGTATCTGGATATCTTAATCGTAGTTCTTTATCCAGTTGTGACATCTTTAGTCCGGCAATTAATTGATCTCGAATTCTCAGTTCTACATTGTCTTCAAATTCATATCTTCGTAGCTCCTTTATATGTTTTAAATAGCTCATTACGAATTCAGTAGGCCCGCGACTTAATCTAATGAAATCAATTCTAGATGCCAAGATAGTTCTTTCATCTTAATACAGTTGTTTACCAATTTTATATCTACCTCCTCTATTTTCGTAGGATAGAGTAATTTTTTGATATCCGTTATAATGTTTATTCCTCCATAAGCTATAAATAATTTTTTTAAAGTGGCATCAGTTTGAGGAATATTTTTCAACATTTAGTATATATTTGATATAATCAACGTAGTCCTTGATGGAACAATCTTCCATTTTAAAATCTTGTAGAATAATTTTATCTATAATTTCTAAATATATATTATTATTTTTTTATGAAATTTTTTTTATAATTCTATATATTATTAAACTTGACCGAAGACCGAAAACCGCGCGACTTAGATTTTTTTTTTATTTCGTCGCCATTTTTTATAGTCAAAACAATAGATTCTTTATTATAAAATTGTTTCCTATATATAGTCTTTTATAATTATGTCTTTTAACTTGTACTAATATGCAATTACATTGACCTCTACTCTATAAGATAATATTAAATGTAAGAAAATTATAATAATATATAATTCAAATAGCGTAACCTTTTAAAATATATATAAACATTCAAATATCCTCGCGTAGTTAGGCGTAGCCAGGAATTACTTGTATTGTATATACCTTAATATAAAAGCATGGTAATAATTTATTCCAAACAATTATAAGAAATTTATTTATAATAAGTAAGTAGACATATAGTTGATTTTATATAGAATTAGTTATAAAATACTAGGTAAAATTCTAATTTTACAGACATATTTGACAGTAGAGATATATTACAGTTAATAATCTGACAAAATTTACTAATCAATGCTCTTAATATTAAATATAGCAACAATATGCATACAATTATTTAACGCCATCTATTTTATTTAAGTATATATAAATTTAATCTTCATATTATTCATTCCACAATGTCTTTAAAAGATATTTTCTGATGTCCTTATCAATATTTTATAGTTTTTTGTAAAATATATAATTCGCTATATTGGTAAAAATACTTGATTGTCATTTGATAATTAGATATATTGTAAATCGACGACATATAATATTCCCCTGTTTATATTGTGCTTTAATATTTTTTTAATTTATGATTTAATTTTATCAATAGTTTTATAATTATATTTTACTTTTATTGAGATAAATAAATTAAAATTACTCACTTTATAAAAAATTATATTTGATATATTATATTATTTAGTAATTTTATAGATCTATTATTAATAATTATAATACATTTCACTTCTGTCTTAAGACTTATCCTTGGCCTATATTCCATTTATTAAAAAACATTTTTGGTTCATTTTATATATTTATAAATTTATTTTCTCAAAAATCTATAAATTATGATGAATAGTTTTATAAAAAAATATCAACTTTTACATTCTTTCTTTTAAATTATTATTTAAGATATATGCATACATATATGAGGGTCAGGGAGTGGGGAGAGGACTAAGGGGGATATTTTTTATTAGCTATAAATGATATTTACAAAAAGTGATAAATTTCTGAAGGGGGGGGAATTTCCCCTTGTCCCCCCCTGGCTACGCCTATGAGTGAGAGTGCCAATTCACAAAGGTTTTAGACAATCTTTCTAATATCACAAACATTTAATTAGGTTTATAACAACGTCTTAAAAAAAATCACAATTTTATTTTCCTCGTGGGTTAAAATATAACAGCAGTGCCAATTTATTACAAAATCCAAAGATTTAAGAACATCCTTCTAGTATCAAAAACTATTAACTAGGCTTAAGTAAATTTTTAAAAAATTTTCAGAATTTATCCTTGTGGAGTAAAATATAATAGCAATAAAAATTTATTACTAGATCCAAAGGTTTTAGAACATCTTCCTAATATCATAAACATTTAACTAGGTTTAAAACAAGGTCTTAAAAAAAATATAAATTTTTTCCTCGTGGAGTAAAATATAATAAAATGCTAACTTACTAAAAAACCCATGGATTTAAGAACATCTTTCTAATATCAAAAACTTTTAACTAGTCTTAAGATAAATTTTTACAAAATTTTCACAATTTATTTTTTTCTTGTGGAGTGAAATATAATGACGGTGCAAATTTATTACTAGATCCAAAGGTTTTAGAACATCTTCCTAATAATAAAAAAATTAAAAATTATTTTCCTCGTGGAGAAAAATATTACAGCAGTTTTATTACCAAACCCAAAGGTTTTAGAACATCCTCCTAATATCATAAACATTTAATTAAGTTTAAAACAACGTCTTAAAATAATTCGCAATTTTTTTCCTCGTAGAGTAAAATATAAAAGCAGTACCAATTTTGTACAAGACCTAAAGGCTTAAGAACATATTTCTAGTATCATAAATTTTAACTAGGCTTAAGATAAATTTTTTAAAAATTTTCACATTTATATTTTCCTCGTGGAGTAATATATAATGGCAGTGCCTATTTATTACTAGAACCAAAGATTTTTGAACATCTTTCTAATATCAAAAAAAATGAACCCGGATTAAAACAAACTAGTTTAATTTTCTATATATTCAACAAATTGACCAAGCCAACCTAGCAAGCCAACCAAGCAAGCCAACCAAGCAAGCCAACCAAGCAAGCCAACCAAGCAAGCCAACCAAGCAAGCCAACCAAGCAAGCCAACCAAGCAAGCCAACCAAGCAAGCCAACCAAGCAAGCCAACCAAGCAAGCCAACCAAGCAAGCCAACCAAGCAAGCCAACCAAACAATCCAACCAACCAATCCAACCAAACAAGCCAACCAAGCAAGCCAACCAAGCAAGCCAACCAAGCAAGCCAACCAAGCAAGCCAAACAAGCAAGCCAACCATGCAAGCCAACCATGCAAGCCAACCAAGCAAGCCAACCAAGCTAGCCAACCCAGCAAGTCAACCCAGTAAGCCAACCCGGGTCGGCTCAACAGGCCCAATGGGTCAGGCTGGGTCGTGGTCGATTTTTCGACCCTGGCTCAGGGTCTGGGCCAATTTTTACGACTTCGACTCGGGGTCGTGGTCGAAAAAAACCAACCATTTAACAACACTATTTGAACCGTTATTTTTATCCGAACCTGAACCGAACCGATATTTGTTTTGGTTTGGATCCCTTATCTACAATATTTTATATTCTATTTATATGAAAAATGTAAAAAATAAAGTCAATTTTTAATATAAAAATAAAAATAAGTCGCGTGAATAACAAGTTAAATAAATTATAAATTAAGATCATTAGGGTTATCTTATATCAACATCCAGATGATATTAAAATTATTTTATAATTTATTTAAATTAAATTTATATTATATTTTTAAAAATATTAAAATTAATATATATAACAGGCGGCAAATTAGTTTCAACTAAGGCTGCATTCAAAGTGGAGACGGATCCGTTTTTTACATCCGTTCCGTCAAAAGTCAATCTCATTAAAAATTATATATATCGATTTTCATTTTTAAAAAATTATAAGATACGTTTTAAAGCTCTATAAAATTTGCCGGATCAAAAAGTCAAAATGTTTTGACTTTAAAATTTGCCGGATCCTTTTTTAAGACGGAAGGTATCAGAACGGACGCACTATGAACATATATATCATTTTTAATGAGATTGACTTTTGACGGAAAACGGATCCGTCTCCACTTTGAATGCAGCCTAAGCCAGCATTCACAGTTAGCGCCAATTTTAGACGAAGTATTTTGCTGCAAAATATACCTATATGCCACGAATTCGCGCTAACTGTGAATAAAGTGTAAGAAAAGCTTTACACGAGTATGATATATATATATATCTTGCTGATCACATCACCTGTCAAATTGATAGGATAGAAAAATGATTTTATTTTATTAAAAATATATTAATATTTATTCGGAATAATTTGTTCAACATACTATCCTAATTATTTGTTTTAATCAAATTATTAGCATACGATTCGTATTCTTTATTCGGTTCGTTTTAGAATAGGCCTAATGTGAAGAATTATTTTCAAAGTCAACACTCAGAGCCCCACGATAGCATAAGATAATTGGTGAAAGATAGTGAAAAACAAAATTGATTACTATTTATTAGCTTAGGAGAAGAAAATAACACAAGGACTTACATTAGATAATTTTATAGTGAAGTTTAATAATAAAACTCGGGGTGGTATAATATATATAATAATATTATTGTAATATTATTATTGCATGTCAAAATTTATTTATATTTATCATTTTCAATAAAAAAATCTCCTTATATTATGGATATAAAAATGAATAGTAAATAGTATCTAAAAATTATCTCCGCCTAATATATTTTATTTATAATATCCCTTTTTTTAAAAAAAAGAAGTGTCTTCTCTTGTCCACCTCTAGTAAAATGTTCCGACTATGAGCCTCCCCGCATGAAATATTTTGTACAACTACATCTTTGGCATAAATATATAATAGGATTTTTAAAAGGTTATCATGCCAAAA